CCACTAATGGCATTTTGAATTTCTAGGGAAAAGGGCAGTTTGTCACATCTGGCACGAAGGATGTGTCGGTACGCCTCACAAGGTATTCAACTGTTTTAGGCCTTTGGGCCTTCATGACGTTGAAGACGTCCTCCAGTTGATTTTGTACTTCTTTAATCTTCTCATCCCACTGATTGGGGGTTCCCTTGGAAACATCATGGAAATGACTCTCATGTTCCATGTTTTGATTTTCTCCCTCATCCTCTTGAAAGTGAGGGTCCCCACCATAGGAATAAGGAGCTGAAGGTGGAGGTGGAGCTGCCTCGTGATGTTAATGAGGGGTTCCCCTATTGGGGCGCCCAAAGGGGCTCCTAAAGGGGTGCTCAAGTGGGGACCTCTCCAGTGCCAAGGGAAAGCAGCTCCTCTAGCTTGATGTTCTTCTGGCTGCACACCTCTTTGTTGTCCAGCGAGCATCAACTATAGGATTTGTTGATTCTGGGTTACGAGTTGTTGCATCGTTTCTAGCATCTATTGCGAGTTTGGAATAAGATTAGCTGGTGGAGGAGTGACCTCCCCCTCACGTGGTGGATTGTCTTCAAACTGATTCATGGATCGGGTAATGATCATCATAAGTACAGAAAAAAGATAGTTGAGTGAAAATTTTGTCGTTCCCACAGACGGCGGCAAACTTATGATGCATAAATTGATTTTATGCATTACTTGTCGAGTAATTAATGCAGTAAATAAATAAGGAGAGAGTCAATACAAGAAAAATACAATTTAAGTGGTTCAGTCAAGATGACCTACTCTACTGTGAAGGGCTGGGATGGTCTACGTATTCTATTACGTCGAAAAGTGCAAGGAGATCAGGCGTGAGTGATAGGGGTACAAGCTATGAGAGAGATGAGAATGATTGATGCCCTCATCGATTGGCGAGGCTTACAATTTATAGTGCCTCTAAACAGACTGAGACGCCTTTTCAATAACTAAGCAACTAATTTGGTAGAGATGGTGTCATCTTCGCAACAAATGAAACTATTGCGACGCTCTCCTCAAGATTAGGTCTTATGATGACGTGGTCCTTATTCTACAAGGGCATGAATGAGACTTTCGGGATGACGCTGTCAAAGCCTTGATGATGCGGGTCTTGGAGCCCTAATGAACCTGACTGGATCTCTTTTGAGCTGGATCCAATGGATTTCGTCTAAATGAATCCTTTATTCAAGTTGGACCCATAAATTGAGTTAGGCCCTTGGGCCGGGTCCATCAATATCCACTGAGGAGCTCCACCGTGACATAGCACAACAAGCCACCGTTGACATCGTGACAATCGGCCAAGTCATCCGCTGGTTTGATCTTCCCACCTGCTATCACCAAGTTAAGTTAGTGCTCAAAAGGCCTCGTGGAGCGATAGATGTCTGGTGCTACACCGCGCCACAAATCAACGAAAGGGTCGACGCAGTTTTTCGGCAATTTTACTTCCTTGATTCCAAGCCTTACTGACATTAAGGCCGGAATTTGGTGTTGGAAAAGTATGGAACCATTGATTTTCCGTTTGAGACGGTGGACGGAGTCGATCACACAGGACCAGTGGAATTCAAAGTAGAGAGAGTCATGGACTTCAATGACTATATTATGTATGCAAAATCAGGGTCTGCATATCAAACTGCATTGGAGAAGGGTGTAGAGCTCTTGAGCAGCGCGATGTGATTAAAGAATTTCAAAGTGCTTGGACTAAAGATGGAAATGCCCAAAAGGTCGTCAAATTTCCAGTTCATCTGAGGATTGGGAGAGTGGGAAACTAAAGAACTAGAAGGCCATCCAATTTGCATACTTTTTTATTTTTAGTAGTATCATAAAAATAATTTAGATAAATCAGTATGAATGAATTCGATGAATGTATCATGAGCGACGATAGTAGCGTGGTGGTGGCAAATAGTGGCAATGGTGGGATAACAATGATAGTGATAATAAATATAAAAATATGATAATGATAGAGGTTTGTAAATAACCTCCTTCATTAAGGATATTTTGGCAATGATTGATTTTAAACTTTTGGCTTTAAAAATATTGAACTTGGACCTATAGCCAAAAAAGTCCTTGAGTGTGTACCTCTCACCAAATCTCCCAAGAAAGTATTAGTCAAGCTAATTACTAAATTTGCCTTTTAAAATTAAGGAAAAAAAAGTTTTAACTTGGGAACCTATCATTTGAATTTTCACAGGAGAGGAGACAATGAAATTCAAACCTGTGATTTAACAATCCAAAGACATTCAAACCTGCGATCTAACGATCCAATAACAGGTTAAGTGACCATTAGACTAACTCTTGATCCTTTATGTCAATGCCTTCTAGATACGGTTTTGTTTAGGAGTAATACTATTTGAACTTAAAAATTTGACCTAATTTGTTTATATAATAATGTGCTTTCAATAGAACCATTGTATCAACACTAAGTTCCAATGTTTGATGGGCCCTACAGTTAATCCAATTATAATGGTGAATTATATCAACAAATTAAGTCAATAAATTAAATCTCAATAGCATTGCTCTTTGTTTAGTGGTTTTGCATGTGAAATTTATCCATACTTATAGGAAGAGGGTTCCCATACTTTATTTATTTAATTTTTGATGGGTCCCAGTGATGTTAGGTGAATGCATGGCCCTTTTGAATTACTCATGTAAATTCGTATATTCTTGTATCTAATTAATTTTGAATCTTTATTTTCTTGTCTTTACGAATTATCATATATCGGATCTGGATTTTGGAGGTTCAGTCCTAATAAATTAATATCAGAGCCTTCAAGTTTATTAGTAGTGATGGGCCCAAAAAAAAGGTTGAGTTCATTATTGGGTCCACCTCTTCGCACATAAGAGACTTTGATCTTACTTTAACTCAAATGTTAGATTACACTAGTATATATATATATATATATATATATATATATATATATATATACTCAAACATTTTTACAAATTTAGTCGACGTGTCATTGAATTCTCACATAAAAACACTCTTTTGTTAAAATACTTTATTAGGAGATGAATAGTGTTGTGAAACATGAATTAGAAATTACAAGTTTCAATGACCCAACTCTATTTCCTCAAGAATATGTATTTTGTAATCTCAGTGCATAAGCAAAACAGGTTTTAACTGAGGAAATATGGTTTTGAACAGCAATGTGAAATGAGAGATACTTTAAGACAATTGATGATTAGGACAAGATACTGAGCTTTCTTACACCTAATTTCTCTTGTTTTGCATTTCTTTTAGTTAGTAATTCACCCATAAACTACAACTAATATATTATATGCCCCTACATGTTGAATTTTTCAATACACATGACCCACAAACACAAAATCAAAAATAAACATATTATCTAATGAATAAAGAAGCTTTATTTACCAACCGGTAAAGGTTGGCAGCTTGGGAATATAACTATACAATCGAAAATGTTATTTATACCTAATTTATTTATTTTATTTGTTGACATGATAGATTATAGCCACTGAATTTATAGTTGAACCTAACTTAGGAACTTAATTTAAGAATCTAATTTAATGTAATCATTGAATTGATAGTGAGTTTCATCTAACATTGAAATTCACAATTAATTTATTGACTATATTGAATCAAGTCTCTCGTTAGAACCGCATATTATGTTCTAGCATTGCTCCTTGTTGCATACAAATGATTCAATAATTCACTGTTCAATTGTTGAATCCACCTTATAACGTAAACACAAAATCATTTTTAAAAATTTAAGTAAATTAAAATTTATATTTTTTATGTATTAAAATTTGGACTAATTAAAATTCAATGTGAATTGATTAAAAATAATTTTTAATTGACTCAAATAGAATTTTAATTAGCCCAAATTTTAATAAGTAAAAAATATAATTTTTAATCGGCTCAAATTTTAATTAACTTGAATCGAATTTTAATTGGCCCAAATTTTAATATGTAAAAAGAATTACAAAACAGAAGAGGTCTCATTAAAGATATATTTATCTAGAGGGGGTGTGAATGAAGTTTGTCCACAAATATATCATAGACAATTTTGTAAAATTGTCTTATAGTTTATATTTTTAATATGACATGAGTGTTAGTGAAGATTCAAAAAAATAGAGGAGGTATCTTTGAAAATATGATAAACTAAAGGAGGTGTGATTACAATTTTTTCAAAAGAATATCACTAGACTTCTCCAGTACTGTTGAAATTTTTTTTTTCAGCCGTGAAGAGTGTTCGGGTCACACAGCTCGACTTATCTCCTTTTCGAATCGATCAAAAGTAGGTCATTCACATTACTAGAACTAGGATATTCATGAAAGATAAATTCTTTATAACCTGACCTCAGAAAAATTACAAAAATTTGAATTTAAGACATCGAATTTACAGGTCATATCTAATACCATTTGAGTTACTTTTAAATTATATTGTTGCAACGCTTCAGGGAGCTAACAGTGACTTCCGCCGGGACTGAAATTTTACCCTGTTTTGATTGTTGGTATTCTCTGTTGTACTTTGTGTATGTATGACTTTGGGTTATTTTAATCTTAATTAACGATGCAATCAGCCTATTTAAACAAAAATAATAATCTATATACATTTGTGGTAAATTTTTTTATTGAAAAATTTGCAAAAGATAAACAATGAAAGGTTATAGAAGTTGTCGGAAAGTGGATGAATGGTTACATATATCTTATTTTTCAATTAATAAAATTAAAATTGTGAAAAAAAAAAAAAAAACAGGTAGGGAAAGCATACTATAAAGTTGACCAAATAGCAAGTTAGCAACTATAAATGGTGCATGTAGAGGATTCCAAAATGAATTGTGCTTCTTGGTCTGAAAACAACATTGACGACTCCGATATATATAAGAAAGAAGAACTTGAAGTATCACGTGCTAAGACAATGACATCAACCATATCTTATATTTTCATAGAAATACTATATATATATAGAGACATGCCTAATACAATGTATAGCACATAATTCTCTATATGCGAAGAGGAAAAGATGGCGGATTTGTACCTTAAACAGGGAAAACAGTACTCGGGTTCTCGGCCAAGTTACCCAGAAGAGTTGTTCCAATTCATTGCGTCCAAGACACCTACTCACGACCTTGCATGGGATGTGGGCACAGGCAATGGCCAGGCTGCAAAATCTGTCAGTCTCTCTCTCTCTCTCTCTCTCTCTCATATTTTTATTTAATTAAGAGATAATTGGAGGTAGAATGAGGAGGTCGACACAGTAATTTGGATCCTCTTTCAGTGTTTGTGTGTGCATTGATTTTGATATGTTTCACAAGCACAAACCTTAAGCTCAATTTGCGTTTAAAATAATCTCATATACATAGACGGTTTAAAGATCCAATCTAAGTTATCGTAACCGAATGATAAATTTCTCGAGACACGACCAAAAGAAAAGGAGAAAAAAGATTATAGCCCATATTTTTTCACTTAATGTTGATAGAGAAACTCAAAATGTGCTAAATGATACCCAAGTATTTTGACAAAATTATTTTCTCATTTAGAAATTGTATCCATAAAACTGATATAAAACAGTTGCTACCAATTTTGCTTACCGGGGGAAAAATTGTTTCTACCATTTTTAACAAAAGTTAATTTCAGTTGGCCAGGATCTATAAGAATGTGATAGCCACAGACACAAGCCAAAAGCAACTGGAATTTGCAGCCAAGCTCCCAAACATTCATTACCTCTGCACCCCTCCCACCATGTCCACCGAGGAGCTCCACTGTGACATAGCACGGCAAGCCACTGTTGACGTCGTGACAATCGGCCAAGCCATCCACTGGTTTGATCTTCCCACCTTCTATCACCAGGTTAAGTTAGTGCTCAAAAGGCCTCATGGAGTCATAGCTGCCTGGTGCTACACCGTGCCACAAGTCAACGGAAGGGTCGATGCAGTTTTCCGGCAATTTTACTTCCTTGATTCCAAGCCTTACTGGCATCAAGGCCGGAATTTGTTGTATGAAAAGTATGAAACCATTGATTTTCCGTTTGAGGAGGTGGACGGAGTCGATCACACGGGACCGTTCGAATTCAAAACAGAGAGAGTCATGGACTTTAATGACTATATTATGTATGCAAAATCAGGATCTGCATATCAAACTGCATTGGAGAAAGGTGTGGAGCTCTTGAGCAGCGATGTGATCAAGGAATTTCAAAGTGCTTGGAATGAAGATGGAAATGCCCAAAAGGTTGTCAAATTTCCAGTTTATCTGAGGATTGGGAGAGTGGGAAACTAAAGAACTAGAAGGCCATCCAGTTTGCATACTTTTTTATTTTTAGTAGTATCATAAGAATAATTTAGATAAATCAGTATGAATGAATTCGATGAATGTATCATGCAGATAAAAAAATCCAATTTCATTAAAACATGATTTTGCAAGAAAATTCTTTTATTCAAATATTTCCACTATTTTTCGAGGAATCTATACACAAATTATCATTGATTTAGGAAAAGAACACATTTTTTAAAACACTTGCAAAGTTTTGATCGAAATTCGGACTTATAACCTAATGGCGAAAGTAACCTATGAGATCATTTTACATAAAACCTATCTAAGCAATGACATAATCCATCAAACTATGATATCATTAACATGTCATTCTAACAAGTCATTTATACCAAAACTTAATCATCCGTTGAAGACCCAAAGTAATAATCCATCAATAACATAAGGTTTATATCCCAATCACACAAAATCAAAACAGCATGAACCAAAATACTAGGTTGAGTCCCACAATAACTATAAGAGTTTGCAACATATTTCCAAGGCGAAAACATGATAATGAAAACTAGATGACCAATCCTTAAGCCTCATAATCAGAATCAACATCTGGATCCATCTCATGCTCAACCTCCACGTCGTCAACTTATTTTGTTTTGGTTATACACTCGAATCTGAAAAATATTAAATAAGGAGCGAGCACGATCAGCTCAATAGAAAATCCATTCACAAACATAAACAATGATTTAAAACAGTAAAGCCTGGTCCAAGACACTTTTACAAAATATACACATTTATAATAAAGCAAGTGTATAACCACAACATTACTAATAGTCTATCCACATCGACAACCCCTCACCTCTATACTAGCACATGTAATCCCTCATACACCCATCCCACCTCCGACAACCCCCGTCTAGAAAATGAATTCTTTGATCTAAATCAAACAAAAACACAAATGCAACCAAGGTCGATCCGAAAATACGTCCAAATCGACTTGCAATCACCAACAATTTCTCCTATTTTCGTCTTTCCTTCTACTCCAACCAGTCAACCATGGCGCAGCAACACAAATTCTCTCTCTCTTGATGCGTGTTGCCTTGTAGAGGATAGATTTCTATTGGGGTTAGGCTGTTTGGGGGCTACTGCTAGGAGTGGGGGTGGTTTTCGGTTTTTGTTTTTCGCTGACTTTTTGTGTGGAGATTTAGGTGGTTAGGGTTGGGCTGGTTTTGGAGAGATGTGGATTGTTTTTGCTAGCCGAAGGGTTCTTGACATGTTGGGCAACATTGGGGTGATTGAGACGTGTTAAAACTTGAAGGGATAAATTGTTAAATTAAAATTACAAGGAATTGATTGAAACATGACTCAAATTTAGAGCGGACGTTTTATAATTAACCCTCAAAATAAATCAAAGACAACTACTGCAGAAGTAAGGAAGACAATAGAATTAGATGAGTTGCCTTCAAGGCAAAAAAAGCTATTGATCTATATATGAAAGACAATTGAAACATAGGGAAACCTTCTAAATTTATATTTATGCAAAGGCATTTGGCTTATCTCCAGGTTAGATATAATTATAGGGTCTTTCAATTCCTTTTAAATGGTGCAGATTTGTCAGTATAACAAATCCAATCTAAATTGAAAAACACACTAAATTTTTAAAATTTAAATTGAATTGAATTTATTTATGTCAATGGATCTTAACGTATCAGAGGATCCTGCTATTAAGAAGTAATTGGAGAGGCATCAAACTCTTATGCATAGAAGTACGCTTTACAAAACAAAAAAAGACAGGAAATTTGATGGGTTGTACTAGTCTGTTTGTGTGTGTGTGTGTGTGTGTGTGAGAGAGAGAGAGAGAGAGAGAGAGAGAGAGAGAGAGAGAGAGAGTTACCTTTATGTTCATTTCACATTCAACACCTGAAATAGATAATGAGTATTATTCAATACTACAACTCACTGCTGATCCAATTATTATAGTAATAAATTAGGCCTTCAGATAAGATCAATATCATTACTCTTATTCTTCACCCTATACTTTGACAAAAACCCTACAAACCAACAAAAGAATATTGTTAGTAAACAAGTATGTGATCAGCAATGTCATAGAGTAGACTGCGCAGAGAAATTAAGGAAAACATACCCTTAACTAAAAAATTCACATCTTTTTTTCCTTCAAGCGGTTCCAGGAACTCCTTTATTAAGTCCAAATCGTCTCCATCCTGAAGAATTGTTAGCTCAGTGAGACGTTCTGTCCTTTCTGGAATGGGCAAAAGCATAGCTCAAGCTTCCGAAGGGATGTGAGATATTCAAGGCAATTTGATAGCGATCTCAAAATTGGACAAAAAACAATTCTAATATGCTCCAGTGTGGCAGCAGACTCTTGAAGGCTCGGCAAACTAGTCAACACTGGTAACCGATACAAGGTTAGTGACCTAAGGCTTTCAAGCCCTACAAAATCATCCTCAGTGAAGTTAAGATATTTACATTCACTAATTATTAATTCCTCAAGGGAAGTGATGTATGGAAAGCCTTCCCGTTCCCACAATGAAGTCAGCTGTCGACAGTGGCGGATTTCCAAGTAGCGGAGGCAAGGGAGGTTTTTTATCTTCTGAGGCAAGGAATGCAACTTCAACTGAGATATTCTTAGTTGTTGGAGTGAAACAAGGCTCCTAATCTCATCCGGAAAGCAGACTAGAGGTATGTCATCCAAGCATAAACATTGTAAGAAGATTAGCTTTCCAACACCTTGGGGCAGTTCAAAGAAGCGCTGGTATGGCATCCGAAGTTCCAAATATTGCAAGTTTAGCAGCTTGCTAATGGATTCAGGAAGTGTAGTCTCGTCATAGGTTTTAACAAAAAGATACCTTAAATGCTTTAGTTCTCCAATAGAACTTGGCATGTCACCTACCAAGCAATTTAATTCCAACACACGTACGTATCTAAAACTTGAGACTATTGTTTGGACATATCTGCCGCAACTACGCCCAGAAAGAAGAATGGTACGCAAATTCATCGACTTCACAATTTCTAGATCTTCCAAAGACAACCCGAACACTGCATGCTTTACTCGTTCAGGAATTGGTTCTGTAATAGAGTTAATTGTGAAGCACTCACCACCTGCCACATATTGTGCAAGGTCATGGACAACATCGTGCATTTTATAATATCCTTGACTGTCCTCCTGGAGAAAAGATCTATTCACCAACTCAGTTATATAACTTTCTCCTATATCTTCCAACTTTTCATTGTGGTGGGATAACTGGATGAGTCCTTGCGCTATCCAAAGGTATATCAGCCTCCATTTTTCAATTTTCTCATCCTTCTGGAACAATGAACAATAGGCAAAACATTGTTTCAAATATGATGGCATTTGATCGTAACTCAACCTTAATACAGGCATAATATCGTTTTCATTTTGAACAATGGCCCAGATTTCACTATCTCTAACCAACATCCAACCATCCACATTAAACTTTAAGTACAATAAGCCTCCTAAAGTCCTTGCTGCAAGAGGAACTCCTCCACATTTTTTCACTATCTCTCTCCCAATATTGACTAGATTCTGATGTTTTCTATCGTCTCCTTCATTAAATGCCCATCTGACAAATAAAGATAGACAATCATCATTCGAAAGCCCTTTAAGAATGTGTGGGGTACATGTTCCCATTATTGAAGCAACTTTATTGCTACGTGTGGTAACAACAATCATACTTCCTCCAGCCCCAAACATCAATAGATCTCGTAGTTTAATCCATTCAGCTCGATCCTCATTCCATACATCATCCAAGACAAGAAGAAATTTTTGCCCGCCCAGTTTTTGTTGGAGGCAATTTTGCAACTGTTCAAATGCTAACTTATCGCATTCATTATCTCCAACAGCATTTAGAATTTGTACTACAATCGATTTGATGTCAAAATCAACAGAAACGTACACCCAAATTCTTTGCTTAAATTGACTTGCAACCCTTTTATCACTGTATATCCATTGTGCTAGTGTGGTCTTTCCTAAACCACCCATTCCAACTAAGGGGATGACATGAATTTTCTCTTCTTCACTAGATGACATTAATATTTGTATAATAGCTTCTTTATCAATTTCTCTTCCAACTACTTCCATACCACGCACAAAGGAATAGGTTTCCTGCCTTCTTCGAGTTTGAACTTGTTTTTCTACGACTTTAGTTGTGAAATTAAAATCTTTTGACTCTGCTACGATCCCATCTAACCTCTCCCTAACATCCTTCATTTTCTGACCCATGCCATAACTAAATACAAATGGATTTGAGCGTGAAAAGAACTTGCGTACCTTACTTCTGGTGCTGCCATGAATTTCTACTAGCCTTTGCCCGGATTCAATTTCATCCACCAAGTTTTTATATGCAAATTCATCCTCCAAGTTATCAACTTCGTAAACTATTTCTTTGAGCCGTTCCAGCCATCCTCTCACTGCATGATTTGTAATCTGCTGTTCCTCAGCATCCAGAAGCACATTTTTGACCGTGGACATGGTGATCTCCAGCTTCCTCAATTCTTTCTTGGCACCCCATGCCAAACCAATCTGTTGGACAGCATAGGACCCCAAATTCGACAATACATTTTCAGCAAAATTAAACAGATATTGTTCTGCCATGTTTGACTGCCCTAAGATTGCAAGAAGAACTCAAGAACAGAGGGAAATGGTTGTAAAAAAATTTCCGAAAGGATGTATTAATTGTGAAGAAGATGTACTTTGTGATCTAAATATATAAGCTCAATGCATACAGCTCATTTCTCTGGTTTTGCATTCAATCCACATGAGTGTATGGACTAGAAGATAATGGACCCACCCAGTCTGGTGTTAATAGTTCTAGTGACTGTATTGACTAGTTGAAATGTTTATTATTCTACAAAAGCAACTCTAATTGTTTGGGGGCTTGATATAGTCGGATAGTTCTCCTCAATGGGCAGTAAGAGAAAGCCCGCTAGCACTTTTGAGTTCGATTCTAGAATAAATTTTTGACAGCCACGAGCAACAATTGTGATGTAACTGAGAATGTGTAGAGTTAATCGTCTTGTTGATTTTTTCAGTAGCTCAGGTTTTGATTCTATAATTTGATTTTCGTACTCGAGATTACACCTGTCACACCCCCAACTTGGCTCCCCCACTCAGATTAGAGGAATGAGTTTAGGTCAAATGAACAATTAACAACATGAATTAAACCTTTACATACAGCTTCAAAATTCAACTTTCAAAAATATACATTAAGCTAACATATTAGAAACTATTATTCCTCCCTGAGCTAGGCTTAATCACACTCCCTGCTCGAAACACTTTCCAAAAACTCCGCCAAAACTCTGAAAAGAAATGAATAAGGTAAGGTAAACATCAACAAGCTTAGTAAATTACTCAATTCTAAAACAAACATGATTTGAAAATAGCCTGGGTTTGAGAATTTTTTTTTTCCAAACTACCCTAGTTTGGTAAAAAGCTCACAAGCAAGGACACAAAATGACTACTACGGGAAAAAAAAAAATATATATATATATATGCAGATATATATTGCCAAATACGCCACACGGTCCTGCACTTGGAAATTTCGATAATCAAGTTATCCCAAACCATCAGGCAGTGACAAAAATCTTAAAATGTGGACTTGATGCAGACAACAGAGCCCTCCTTTTTTCATAATTTGTCCAAGGCAGTAACATAGACTACAGATCTTCTTGAGTTCTTGCATAAGAGGTTCCAGATAATGATTAGAAGTTTATGTAGGAACTAAAAAAATTGTAAGCATGTATTGAATTTGGGCAACAAATCTATCTTCTCTTAGTATCAATTCAATCGGTAGTTTGTACCCGTGTTTGTGATTTAAAAGGATTAAAAACTAATTCTATGCATCCCTCTCCACAGAAGCAAGAGTGAGAAGTGTTTTAGCCATACATTCCTCGCACTGGGGAGACTGACAGCTTCTGAAGCTGTAACAAATTAAAGGCTGCAACAAATAGGATGTAAAGCATAGTTAGTCTTTGGAAGAGATGCTTCATTCATGAGGGTGAGGTATCACATAACTGATGAATGTAAAGAACTTGCCTTGCACACATCTCTAGAAGTTGATATGCCTATAATCCCTTAGTAATCTCTGGCATTCAGAGTCGCCACATTAAGGCTCATTCTGTATGCATACTGAAAATGCTAAAGAAATGATTGTTACACCTTTGCTCTTTAGGTGAAAGGAGGCTACATTCCCTCAATGCCGTTTCTGTGCCATAGGGGTATCACGCTGTTTGTGTGAAATGCAGAGGATGTGTAGACCATAAAGCAGACAAAGAAGTACTCCATATGCACTCTTTCGCTTTTGGCATGATACAAGTGATAATCATCACCAAAAATGCAACCAGGTGGTCAACCATCACCTAGAATACTCATGCTGAAGATCGAAAATTTACGTTACCAAGAAATCCTTTTCCACTGCAAAATCATCGTCTAAAATCTTAACAGCCTTCCGCATTTTCAAATGAAGATTGCAAAGTAAAGAATAAATAGCCTCGGTTTCAGAATGAGATTTATCAGCAACTACAAAAACATGAACCCTGTTCCCCACTTCAATCCAACTGCACCCTGGCTGCTTTTTTAACCCTTTGCCCTTCATTTTCGACCTCAGCTTTGCAGCTTCTTTCCATTTCCCACTTGAAGCGTATATGTTTGATAACAACATATAAGTACCAGCATTTTCTGGCTCCACCTCCAAAAGCTTTTTTGCAACCATCTTCCCTAAATTTGTGACCCCATGATTATTACATCCCGCAAGAAGAGCCCCCCAAGCACATGCTGATGCCTTAGTTGGAAGTTGCTCAATGAACTCAAAAGCCTCCTTGAGCCTCCCTGATCGACCACAGAGATCAACAAGGCATGTATAGTGATCTTCTCTCACTTCAACGGACCTGTCTCCCACAAGCTCATTAAAATACTTTAACCCCTCCTCCACCAAACCAGAATGGCTACAAGCAGCAAGCAATCCTACATAGGTCACATCATTTGGTCTGAAACCTAAATGTTGTAATTCTTCAAACAAGTTGATAGCCTCTCTACCACATCCATGATGGGCATAGGCTGCTATCATACCATTCCAAGCGATCAAATCCCTCAAGCTTTTTGACCCATCATCAAACATTCTCCTAGCAGTAACCAGCTCTCCACATTTTGAGTACATGTTTATGACTGCGGATACCACAAATGCACTATCCTGATAAACTGTCTTGCATATTATTTGGTGAATTTGCATTCCCTCTCCAAGACCAGCTAAGTCACTACAAGCACCCAAGACACTCACAAACGTCCCTTCATTAGGCTTTATCCTATTATCAGATAGCATTTGCACAAAAATCTTCAATGCCTCTTCACTTTGGCCATCTTCCAGATATCCATTGATCATTGTAGTCCAAGAGATGACATTCCTTCGTGGCATTCCATTAAAGAACTTCCTTGCCCTTCTTAAATCCCCATTCTGAATAAAACCTGTGATCATCGTATTCCAAGACGAGACATCTTTTTCTGACATCCTCTCAAACAAATCAAAAGCTTCATCCAACCTCAAGTTCTGTGCATATCCTGTCATCATCGCATTCCATGAAACCACATTCCGCTCTGGCATCCTATCAAAAAGCACCCTGGCCTCATCGACTCTCCCATTCTTTGACAAACATGTAATCATAGCCGTCCAAGAAATCACATCCCTTTCTGGCATCAAATCAAAAAACCTCCTTGCCTCCTCAACTCTCCCATACTGAGCCAACCCCACTATAACCGTATTCCAAGTAACCACATTCCTCTCCGGCATTTTCTCAAACAAACCCAAAGCTTTATCAATCCAACCACTTTGCACATACCCATCAATCATAGTATTCCAAGAAACAACATTCTTATTAGGCATATGATTGAATAACTTCTCCCCCTCTAAAATATGATTCATTCGCAAATACCCCGAAACCATAGCAGTCCATGTGACTACATTTTTCTTGGCATCCACTCTATCAAACAATTTTCTTGCTTCTCTCATCAGCCCACATTTTATATAGCCAGAAATCAACGTTGTCCATGTAATGACATCCGGCTCAGGCATTCCATCGAATACTTGCCGTGCTTCGGCAATTCGACGCTCTTTGCTAAGCTTTGTGATCATCCAGTTTGACCTTGCGGTATATTGATTGACTGAATAATCTAATCGGGGTACTGCTAAATTGGAAAGTAGATTTATGGAGTGGTATAACTTGGTGATCATCCAATTTGAGCCCACTGCACTTTGAACCGAACTCAAAAGGTTTGTTTTAGTGGGATTTACACCATGTCTTAGAGTGATTGATAGTCCAAATAATGGTCGCATTTCAGGCCTTTTGTTTCGCAGGAGAGATTTTCTTCGAAGAACATCAGTGAAATGAAGTATGTGGTCTGAAGTTCTGTAACTGCAGCACAGTGCTGGTCGAAAATACTCAACGCAGACTTCCACCAATCTTGAAATTTATCAAACACCTGTCTACTTTAAACCAATCAATCTTGTTCTCGGTTAGCCAAATATCAACAATTTCAACAAGTGTAACTTAAATACAGAAGTCTTTTAAGTTCTAAACTTACAATTAGAAATGTATCCACTATGCATATTTTAGTATCGATACGAATGACATTCCTTTGAATAGGAAAAGTTAAAGATGCAAGTAAAGACACTTTGATCACAAAACAAAAATAAATGTTAAAGAGTTTTCCAACTTTAAACATTATATCGACACCACGAAAAAACAGAATTATGGATTCTAAACTTTACTTTGCCTCTATTGTAAATAAAGTCTCATATTATATGTTGGATTTTTTAAAATTACAATAATTTATCTATTTTATTCTCTTTCAAAAAAATTTATTTGAGATATATTCCTATCAAAATGCTAATTCTAAGAAAAAAATTAGGGGTGAAGTTCGATTGGCTAGAGTCCCTATGAAATAAATGATCTTACCATTTACAATTGTACCATTCAACGCAATTCAAAAAGATCTTATCTCAATTATTCAAGATGGATGTCTATTTAGTTATAGCAAATTATTGTACTTCCTTTAATTCATTCCGAATTATGGTGAGTGATATTAGTTTGGGCCAAGAGAAAACTTGTTGAAAATTGGTGATGCACAAAATAGGTTGTACACAATCAAATCATCAAGTTTATGATGCAAGATAATTAATGAAACAATTAATAATGAAAGACAAAGATTGAGTGGTTGGGCCGAAATAGCCTAACCACTAAAGGCGGCGACGATGGCCGAAAAATTTTATTAACGAGAAAATAAAATAGTAAGTGGCAGAGAAAGAACAAGAGTAAGCTCAAGTTGTGGTGTATGTGAGATATATCCCTCATGTGTAGAAGACTTACATTTTATAGGCATAGAATCTCAGTTAAGGCAGTGGCGCGAAGGTCAGGCTACTAATCTTTCAAAGAGGATAGCTACAATTAAGAATAGGTACAATTAACGATAGGTGCTATGTTCGAGTAATGACTATCCCGATGTTTACTTCCCACGTACGTTGATCTTCCTGAATCTCTTGAGCTTTGGACGAAGCTAAGACCATGAGTTGAACTTGACTTGCCTTTTAATCATTTGGGCTCCACCCATGAATCAAGCCTAGGCCCAAATAGGTCTAGGCTCATCATTCCCCCCCCCCCCCCAAATCCCCCATGGCCTTGCGATGACAAGAGATTGAGGGCATGAGTGAGCTCTTTTTCTAGGTAGATTGGGTTCCTTGTTCTCCATGGTAGCTTCTTCAACTTTTCATCTTTTTGCCCACTTATTCATTTTCCTTGTTTCGTTGCTGAACACCCACTATGCTACCATCAAGTTAGACGGGATTTCACATTAAAAACCCCATTCCTCTATTTAGGGCATTTTCCTTAGGGTTTGACAAGGTCTACATATATATAGATATTGGAGTCAACCATTCACTTTCCTTATTTTTTTCATCATCCCTTGGATAGGGCTAAATACTTTCCATCTCTTCATTCTCATAGATCTCAAAGAGAGAGGTTTGCTAGATTATGTAGACTAGGAGAGGATTGACGAAGACAGACGACATCACAGCAAGATCAGAGGCAAGGCTAAGAGGCACCTTGGCGAACCTAGGTGTTCGTGACGCCTTGGCGAAACCTTAGGCCACGCCAAGCATAGAGGGCGGCAAAGGTGGTGCTAGCCTTCATCAGGGCGACAGAGGTGACACTATAGCCGCAGGTGGCGCCCTAGGCATTAGCGTAGGGGACCCAGGTGACGTCGACAAGTTGGGCAACAACATCAGCAGAAGAAAACTAAGCGGCGACGCTCTAGGCGTAGGTGACGCACTGGGCTATGGCACCAGAGCCTTTTGGTGTAGGGGGTGCTAGTGACACCTTGGCTGGCAACGCCCTAACTGCTAGCACTGGAGGCACTGGCGACGCCTTGGCTGGCAATACCCTAGCCGCTGGCACAGGAGGCACTGGCGATGGCTATAGGGAGCTAGGCTCTGGCAGGCAGCTGCCCGGCGTTTGTGGGGAATAATGGGTAGTCCTGTCGGGTTTTTCTAGGGAGGGAGAGTATGAACCTTTTCAGCTATGTAGGATTCAAATTTTCTTACTCATTTTATTCCTTCTTTGTTTGACATTGGCTCTTTGACATTGACTCTAATTGTTGGCAGGCGCCCACTCTAACAAAGGCGTGATGAAGAATGCTACATAGGATTCACAGCGAGACAAGGTAATTGCTGAAAGTGACGGTTCGAATGAAACCTCTATCTTTAGTTCCATATACTGTGACGATAACATTATCAGCATTGTATCTTCGTTCCATATCCCTCATACCGTTATGTGCCATCATGCCGAGAAAGACGAGTCGGCATGTTATGATTCCTTATAAGAGATCGTTTTCTATGAGGATGTCTTGGAGGTAAGATTGAGGTTTCCTATACCTAGGCCTACCTATCGGATTTTGGGCCACTTATCGCTTACCCGGAGAGGTTGACCCCGAATGGTTGAAGGGTAATTTTGGCATTTTTCTCTCTATGGCGACAGATTCATGACACTGGTGTTTCTCCCCCTTTTGAGGAGTTTATAGCATCATATGTGCTTTTGGAAAACCCTACTCCTCATTAGGGGTAGTACTGCTTTGCCCCGAGGTCAGACAAGTTGATCACTGGATTGCCTTCAAATTGTCATAGTTGGGAGTCTAGGTTTTTCTTCATTAGAGGTGAGTGGGCTGCTGAGGAGCATCATGACTTGGTGCCCTCGAGGTGGGATAGTCTTTCGAAGACCAAGCTAGGTATGATTTTTTCCCTTACTTTTCATGTCTAAATGTTATATCCCTCTCATACGTACCGTATGTTTGGTTCCTTTGCAGCTTCACCCATATTATCTGCAAAACATGGGAGTAGGCATCAGGCTGTGAGGGATCATCCTACCAAGCAATTTGCAGCCCTTATGTCAAGTCACTCCAAAACCTCCCCTAGGTAGAAGAGGAAAGGTTTTTGATCCTTTCAATAAACTTGATGACTATAAATTCTTCTTCTTACGCCAGTTCCATAAATGCTACTGTTGATAAAACGATAGTGGAGGTTCTTTATGCTTCCAAGGTGGCGTCATCCCCTCCTCTTAAGAGGGCGAAGCCTAATGCCCCCCAGTGCTTCTCGGCAGAGGTCAAATGGTCATATTGTTTCCCGAGAGGCGAGATCTTGTGGTACTCCTACTCCTTCTCAACAGGCAGCCCTTTCGTGTCTACCGAAATTCTCTTAACGTGGTAGTCGGCTACCATCATGGTTAACACTAGAGAGTCATCGTGGGAGTGTTAGATCCCCTCGAAGTCCTTATCTGAGAATAAGATGACCCCTCTTCCCCGTGTCGATACGTCTTTGTTGGGTGAGGATTACTACAAGAATAAAGGTCTTTTGTGACAAATTTTTTACGGCGGCTATGTTTGTCGTCACAAAAGACGTATTTTAGACATTTTTTTATAGCGGTTGTGTTTGCCGTCACAAAAAGCGTGTTTGTATTAATATTTGTGGCAGCTATTTTTTCTGGCGTAAATAGTGTCATAAACTCAAAAGAAATTTTTGTATTTGAGACAGCTGTTTTCCTGTCTCAAATAATCTTTTATAAATTCAAAAGAATTTTTTACATTTATGGCAGCTACTTTTTTCGTTGTAAATAATATTTCATAAAACATTAAAATGTTGTTTTAGATTAAAAAATATTTTGTAGTTTAAAGAAGAAAAACTCTAAAAAAAAATTGTATTGACCACAACTATTTTTCATGTTACAAGTAATATTTTATAAAATTACGTAGTTTAACATCAAAAGACAATTTGTACCTCAAAGAAAAAAAAAATTAAACTCTATAAAGTCAAATTTTTATATCAAAACTAGGGGTGCCAAAATATGACACAACCCGTTAACACGACATAAAATTAGTGGGTTTGAGTCTTCCTTAAATCACCTGTTTAGTAAACGAGTGGATCCGTCACAATACGATTATAAACAAATCAGGTATTGATGAAACCAGTTAGAAGAAATGTATACGATATGACTCGTTTATATACCATTTACATACTTGGACAAGTCATTCAGAGAAATATTGTGTGGTCCTCTGTTGATGTATATTCTAACTTCTTTTAGTTCTTTATTATATATATGTATATAAATATTATTTCAGTATTGTAACAATAATTTTATAATTTATTCAGATGTCACTGAGAGAGTAGATAGTTCGAGAAGGATGTTCAACTTTTTTGCATTAATTTCTTATACTCATAGATTATTATATTTTATAAAAGTGCATATTTTACATTTTGTTTAACGTTTGAGATTGTGTTTTTTTTATATGAAAATATTGCTATATTTTTGAAAATGTTGATTATATTTACTTTTGTATTTATTTATATATTAAATTGGGTAGTTGTATGGATACGAATGAGTCTTTGGTCTAATGGTACTCCTTACATTATGAAAATTTTATTTTTTTGAGGTAAAGGGTTCAAGTCTCATTCTCCCCTCCCCCACCCAAAAAAAAAATTGTATGGAGTATATATATGCACAGGGCATATAATATTGGTTACAAACGGTCCATAATAATTATAAAAAAAAAATTATTTTTTTTTGTGACGGCATCATTGCCTTGATAAATATATCTTTTATTTTTTATGACAACCAAATATTGAATTTAAAGCAGCACTTTTGCCGCTGTGATAAAAACAAAAGTGTCGGATTTTTTATGACAACTTATTTACGACAGGATCTTACCACCGTAAATACTATTTGAAACAGACCGTTGCTTCTGTAAAAACCTTTTGAGACCACACTTATAATGGCGAGGCAATGCTGCTACAATGCTGCCCAAAAAGTATTTTGTGACGACAAATAAATTTTTTATGACAGCACTTTACCGCCGTAAAAACCTTTTTTTTCTTGTAGTGGATCATCTAACTCTACATGTCTGGCACTCTTGACAAGCGTCTTCCTAGTTGAGTTGGAGTCACCTCCTATTCCAAACCCTCCAGAGATCATCTGAATTTCTCCGAGGGACTGTTGGTGTTCTCTGTCATCCTGGTTCTGGCCAGTGTCGGGCTTGTCCTCTGTCAGCAACGTACTATCGTAACTATCCGTGTTGTATGAGCTCTTCGATCTACCTTTTAAGCTCAAAGCAATCGCCAGTGTCGCGTTCATGGTTCCTACGATTCAGGGTGGACTTCATTTTTTCAGGCCAACATATCGTAAGATCATCCTGGATTTGGAGCAGGATATGCTCAACCAAAGTATTGAGCGACGTAAAGGCCTACCACTCTCTCAAGGGTGCAGGGTTGAGGTAGTCCTTGACGAACACTCTTTTCATCCTAGTTTTCTTATTTTTTGCTTATCTTCTGTCTTCACGGGTGTCCTTTCATTTCCCTCCCCCACAAGAGGACTCAATTTGCATGGCTTTGGTGACATCCTCGACATTCATATTCTTTTGTGCCCAAGATAACAGCTTGGACATGCTTGATGGTAACTTTTTCAAGACAGAGAGCATAAAACTTGATGAGCGCAAACCTGCAATAAAGGTGGTCATGGTAACCTTGTCGCATGGCTCCTCAATCTAGAGGGTCTCCTCGTTAAAATGAGTAAAGTTACTCCTTAGACTTTCATCACGATCATGTTTAATAGTGAGTAGGTGGGTGACTGGCTTCTGATGTCAGTGTCCCTCTATGAAGCGAATGGTGAAAGATTTGCTTAATTCAGCAAAAGAGTTGATGGAAGATAGCTTGAGCTTGGCGAACCACTATCGTATGGACCCCTTTCAGGGTATTGGGAAAGCTCTATACATGATCTTGTCTAGTACGTTATGAAGTTGCATAAAAGACTTGAACGTGTCGAGGTGATCAAGGGGATCTTTAGTACTATCGAAGATCTCTACAATAGACATCTTGAATTTCGAGGGTAAAGGGTAGTTGACAATATCAGCCATAAACGGAGTGTCAATGCGTCTTACCAAATAGTCCACTATTTCTAGCGCATGTGCCTTGATGGCATTAACGACGCCGTCAAGCTAGTTTTGTACCTCCTTAATTTTCTCGTCTTATTGGTTAGGGACACCATTGGTCGGATCATTGTAGTAGCTTTCATGGTCCGCAAATTGGCAGCATGTGAGGATAGAGTAGGGACATGTGGAAGAGGAACATGTGGGCTCTCGGGCGCTGCATGGGGGTGCCTTGGCCCTGGGTGCCACACAAAGGGGCGCCTTGACGTCCTGGGTGGACAGGCTATGGCGTTTCCCTTTCTGCAGGCTGGGGCATGACTCTTCTTGAGGCGAGCATCAGTTGTAGATTTTTCTGGTTTTGACTCACCAACAGCTGCATCATTTTCAAGAGCTGTTGCATGACCATAGGATTTGCGACAGTTGAGGGTTCCACAGGCAAAGGCGAGACCTCCTCCCGACGCGCTGGGTTGTGATCCTCGTTTGTTGATTCATCGACCTAGTAGTGATTGCCATAGAAAAAACATGGACAGATAGCAAAAAATTGTATTCATTTCCCATAGACACCACCAAACTGATGATGCACAAAATAGGTTATGCACAATCAAATCAGTCGAGTGCACGATGTAAGGTAATTAATGAAACAATTAACAGTGAAAGAAAAAAATTGGGTGGTTGGCCCGAGGTGACCTAATCACTGAAGGCGGCGACGGTGGTGTGCGGAGAACTTTATTAATGAGAAAATAAAGTAGTAGTTAGGAGAGAGAGAGAGAGAGAGTAAGAGTAAGTTCAAGGTGTGGTGTATGTGAGATATATCTCTCATATGTAGAGGACTTACAATTTATAGACACATATCCCTAGTTGAGGCGATGGCATAAAGATCAAGCTACTAATCTTTCGGGGAAGATAGCTACAATTAAGGGTAGTTGTAATTAAGAATAGGTGCTATTATTGAGTAATGGTTATCCTGATGTTTACTTCCTAGGTGCGTTGATCTTCCTGGGTCTATTGAACGTTGGACTGGTCTGAGACCATGAGCTGAGTTTAACCTGCTTTTTAATCACCTAGAATCCACCCATGAATCGAGCCTGGGCCCAGCTAGATGTGGGTTCGTCAAAAATTATAATTCATGCACATCAAGTAATGCCCGCTTTTTCATTTTGACTAGAAATTCATCACGTACCAATGGACCTTTGGTCCAACGGTACTCCTTTTCTTATAAATATTTTATCTTCTTG